TTAAGACAAAAAAAAAAACCTACCCATACGACACGCACCTTGATAAAATGACACCAGTTGTTTTGAATAGGTCAACTCCAGAAGATTCCACCAAAACAATATCAACTCTATTACTTTAATTTTCTAGAAAGTCAAAAATTTTACTCAAAGGAGAAAAATAGAGACGGCGAATTTGTTTGTACCCAAAAGGATATAAATGTCCAAGAAACGAAGGAGAGGAATACCCATGTCGGGTCCACTGTTCAACAGTTCAGTTATGATCCTCTGTCTCCTAATTTTCCAATCCCATCCCTGTTCCCTACTTATGTTTGTGACATCTGTCTTTCCATTTAATCAATCATAACGCCGTTAACCCATCCGAATATTTTTATAGGAGATTTTAACAATGTTGCCTCACCTATAGACCTTGTTCCACTTTGCCCTTTGAACTTTCTTTGGTTTTGAGACCCTTAAGTCTTTCAAAACGTGTCATATACTCAATTTCGTCAAGTTTTTTAATTCCTCTGTCAGATTCAGCGTAATTTATATCAATTCAAGTTATGATTTGATTCGACAAACTTAAATCTAATTGACTCGACCACTTGTTCGCTTCAATCATATTTTGAATGGGCTAAAAAAATGAAGAATTGAAAATGGGACCTTAATTGGTTAAAATGGGGTCTAAAGGGAAAAATGGGTTGACTCAATTAGGGTTTAAATTGGTCAAATTTAATCCTAACTTGAAGTGATAAAAACGACTATGAATTTTAGGAAGCAGTTAACAAATTTGACGAAAGGGGGTATATTGTTGTGAAAGATTATGGGGCTCAAAACCAAATTGAAAGTTCAAAAAGTAAAGTAAAACAATGTCTATAATTTAGGGTGATTGCTGAAAAAAAATTCTTTTAATAAAATCGAAAAAAAAAAATACAATCAGGATCCATTAACAGCGTTTATTTTCTGTCATATGTAGAGACTCAACACAGCAGATCTGAGCTCCAGTTAGTGAAGGCCGTGAATGACACCCTACCCTCCCTCCCGTTTGCCAGTCAAAGTCTCCCTTCCATCCAGTTTCCAAACCAGACCATCTCCTCACTCTCTCCTTCCTCCTTAAAACTCAGAAACCCAGCCATCAAATCTGACACAGAAACCCAAATAACCAAAATGACCCCATTCTCTTTCCTTCTCTTGATCCCCTGTCTCTTCTCTGCCGCCACCGCAATCTCACCAGGCTCCACTCTCTTCGCCTCCAACCAAAATCAGACCTGGTCCTCCCCAAACGCCACCTTCGCCTTCGGCTTCCTTCCCTCTGACCCCCCCACTTCACCCCCTTCCTTCATCGCTGCCATTTTCTACTCCGGCGGCATCCCCGTATGGTCCGCCGGCGATGGAGCTGCCGTTGACTCCGACGGAACCCTTCAATTCCTCTCCTCCGGCACCCTCCGCCTCGTCAACGGCTCCGGCAGCACTGTCTGGGACTCCAATACCACACGCCGCGGCGTCTCCTCCGCCCAGCTTTACGATTCGGGCAACTTGGTGCTCTACAACGGCACCGTTTCGGTCTGGTCCAGCTTCGACAACCCGACCGATACGATCGTGCCGTCGCAGAACTTCACTGTGAGTAAGGTTTTGCGATCTGGGTCGTATTCTTTTAAGCTTGTTAAGAATGGGAACCGTACTCTTTTTTGGAACAATAGTATTAAGTATTGGAACGAAGGATTGAATTCTTCTGTTAATACCAATTTGACTTCACCTAGTTTAGGATTGCAGTCAATAGGTATTTTGTCAATCTCTGATTCAAGCTTGGCCACTGCGGTCATTGTTGCTTATAGTAGTGATTATGCTGAAGCTGGTGATATTTTGAGGTTCTTGAAGCTAGGGAGTGATGGGAATTTGAGAATTTATAGCTCCACTAGAGGTAGTGGGACTATAATTGAGAGATGGGCAGCTGTTACTGATCAGTGTGAGGTTTTCGGGTACTGCGGGGACATGGGAGTTTGTAGTTATAATAATTCCAATCCGGTGTGTGGGTGTATGTCGCAGAATTTTGAGCTAGTTGATTCGAAGGATAGCAGGAAAGGATGTAAAAGGAAGGTGGAGATTGAGGATTGTCCTCAGAGTGTGACTATGTTGGACCTTGTTCATACTCGGTTCTTGACGTACCCTCCCGAGACGGAATCACAGATTTTCTTTGTGGGTATATCAGCTTGCAGGTTGAATTGTCTTGTAAATAATGCTTGTGATGCTTCGACATCTTTGTCTGATGGCACAGGGCTATGTTACTACAAGACACCTGGTTATCTTAGTGGCTATCATAGTCCAGCTATGTCCAGCAGTTCATATATCAAGGTTTGTGGGCCGGTGATTCCAAATCCTTCGTCTTCATTGGAGAGTGCTGGCAAGAAAAAGGATTGGAAGTTGCACGCTTGGATTGTGGTTGTTGTGGTTGTTGCCACCCTTTTGGGTTTGATGGCATTGGAGGTCGGTTTGTGGTGGTGGTTTTGCAGGAACAGTCCCAACTTTGGTGGATTGTCCGCCCAATATGCACTTCTTGAGTATGCTTCTGGTGCACCAGTTCAGTTCGTGTATAAGGAGCTCCAGCGCTCAACTAAGGGGTTCAAGGAGAAGCTTGGGGAAGGAGGATTTGGGGCTGTTTATAAGGGCATTCTTGCTAATAGAACTGTTGTTGCAGTTAAGCAACTTGAGGGGATTGAGCAAGGGGAGAAACAATTTAGGATGGAGGTTGCAACCATTAGTAGCACCCACCATTTGAATCTGGTGAGGCTGATTGGTTTTTGCTCTGAGGGGCGCCATAGGCTTTTGGTATATGAGTTCATGAAAAATGGGTCCCTTGATAATTTCCTATTTGCAACAGTAGAGCAGTCAGGAAAGTTGTTGAATTGGGAGTCTCGGTTCAACATTGCCCTAGGGACTGCAAGGGGGATCACATACCTTCATGAGGAGTGCCGTGACTGCATTGTGCATTGTGATATAAAGCCAGAAAACATTCTCATAGATGAGAATTTCAATGCCAAAGTGTCAGATTTTGGCCTCGCAAAGCTCGTTAATCCAAAGGACCATAGGTATCGAACCTTGACGAGTGTTAGAGGGACTAGAGGGTATTTGGCACCTGAATGGCTAGCAAATCTTCCAATAACTTCCAAATCTGATGTTTACAGTTATGGTATGGTTTTGCTAGAGATAGTGAGTGGGAGAAGGAATTTTGAAGTTTCTGAGGAGACAAATAGGAAGAAGTTCTCCTTATGGGCTTTTGAGGAATTTGAGAAGGGTAACATCAAGGGAATTGTCGATAAAAGGCTAGTCGACCAAGATGTTGATATGGATCAAGTGACGAGAGCAATTCAGGTGACTTTCTGGTGCATACATGAACAACCATCTCATAGGCCAATGATGGGAAAAGTTGTACAGATGCTGGAAGGAATTACAGATATTGGGAAACCCCCTGCCCCGAGGGCCACCATGGACGTGCCTACTGGTGGAACAGACATGAATGTGAGCAGTAATATTAGTGCTCTGTCCACTGCTGCAGCCTCAGCCCCAGTTCCTTCCTCATTTTCATTATTTCAAATTTCAGGAGTATCCTCTTTAACATCAGAGAGGAACATCGAGAAGGCAACTGCATCCCTTATACACTCAGACCCAAATTGAATCTCATTTCCTTACACGTGTTTTGTATAAGAGAACCAGTTTTAGATTCTAGTTCTTTTAAGCTGATTCCTCCATTCAAATTGTTTATAATGATAGTAGTATGATACTTTAAAGCAGAATGTAATAGCATAATATCATATTGAGTTCATTCAAGAAACATATTATTAGCACTATTGAGCTTTTTTTTGTTTTTTTTGTTTTGGGTTTTAATATTTATGAACCGCATCACGTACTGTCCCTGCATCCCAAATTGATAGTTTATTTAAATAAGGACCTCGGGTGCCAGGAATAACTGTTCTTAATCACTTGAAATGCAAGCTCGTTGCAATTGAAAAGCTGGGGGTAGTTGATAACTATTTTTCAGTTTTAGGGGGACTGCCGTTGCTATCAGCATGTTAACGCATGCAAGCAGGGAAACGACAGAGGCAGAGAGTTCTTCTCTGCTCTCAATTCCAGTTGGAATAGGGAAAATCAATAGTTTCTCAATTGGCAAAGCCCATGAACCGGTGAAGCAGTATATCTCTTGACTTGTTTCCTCCCGTATACAATAACCCAATTGAATCGTTGTATGACTCAAACCTATATGCACAAGAAGGATGAGTCCAAAGCTCCACAATAAGAACACATTTCTTTGGCTCGCAAAAAACTCATGAGATTTTCTTGAGATTGTATGAGGAATAAGAGGATATGAGATAAGTGATGAAGGATGATAATGATGAGATGATAGAAATGATGAGAAGAGAGGGTCTATTTAGGCTCATAGGATCACTCCTAAATTAATAGGGTGGGAAATCCAAAAGCTAAAAATCTTTTTTAAAAAAATGAAAAGTGTAGAGATACCATTATTTCTCCCTAAATAAGGGACCATAATTCCCACTAAATTAAGTAAGGATAGTTAAATTAATATTAAAATGAACCAACAACACTGGTCCAAGAAATGAACTCAAATTCAGCCAAAAAACTTCATTCCTAAATTCCCGCAAATTAAATAAATTTTCATTCATAATCACCCAAATTCGAAGTACATATGGTTTTATCGTTTCAGGGGTATGAAGGCAATCTAAATGCAACCCACAAGTCCAAACAGACTCCCTAGTTTACCTCGACCAAATTCACCTCAAACACTTTTCCATATCCAAACTATTCCAAGAACCACAAATTCCATCCAAATTTCAATCACCGAAAATTCCTAAATAAATTCCAATGAAGTACGAGTTGGCTTGATTTCATCCAAATGATATGTAGGCAACCTAGAGCTCATTCCAAGTGCAGCTACAAAAATCAAACAAAACCAAACCAAGTGACTAATAGTGAAGATATAAATATAACCCTACACAAATTAGAAAACAAACTCTACATATTATACCTAATTTCTCTATTGCAAGGCACAAAGAAAAGAATGGGAATAATTAGGGGTGGGGCGGGGGGGAGAACAAGAAGAAAACATGAGTAGAGGAGTAAAGCAGTTGCAATGAAGATAAAAGAGTAGAGAAGCTATATTTGGGAATGCAGGGCTAAATTTGAAGAAGATAGTTTATCATGAATTCTTTTTCCTATCAAAAAAGAGTTGGTCTTTTCTTAATATTTTTTTAGTAACACAAATTAACATCAAAGTCACTTTAAAAATCAATTGCCCAAGCCCAACTGCAGCCCAAGTTTCAGCCCTTGCCCCCCCTCGTCCTGCCTTAGCCTTCTTTGAGGCTTTTTGTCAAGTAGTGTGGCCCCATTCAACACATAGTTTCATGAAAACTCGGCACCTTCGTAAGTGCAGAGCAAGACTGAGCAGAGGCAAGTGCCTTCACTTGCTCTTAATAGATATGCCCGTGGTAACATCGTATTGGATATAATTCCTAGAAATATAATGGTGGGGTAGATTAAACCATTATGTATAATTTAAGAGGAAATTAACAATACTTTCAATTCTGTAAGGCCTTTTTAGCCATTTTAAAAACACTGCTTACAGATTCTCGAAGAATTTACTTTAAAGCCATTGGGGTATAGTTCAGTTGGTTGAGCTCTTCTACCTCCACCCATGTATTGTGGACAGAGATTCCAAACCCCCAAACACCCAATGAATATTTATGTAGACCCTCTTCCCCCAATCTCTCGTACTAAAAAAAAGAATTTTACTCTGCCCACTTTCACCTAAACAACTTAATACTTGCAGTTTTGTGCATAATAGCTAACTAATCGTATGCATGCGAAAAGGACTCAATTTATTGCACAATCTCCAAACTCATATCCAAGTATATTAACACAAAATCCAAAAGCAACCATTATAATTAATACCTTAATTTATTCACCACTCTAATGAACCTTCCAATGATAATCAAAACTTGTGAGTCTGTTGTTAGACATATAGATGTCTATCTCATTAAAGTGTGGTCTTATAATCATTAAAGAATTCTAACTTGATATCAATTAGGAGTTCAAATACAACTAAACCTACAGCTCTATTAAATTTAGTGTTTTAAGGCTAACATAAGAGCTAGAAGGATTCCTATCTTAATTGTGGATTAGAAGTTATAAACCTAATGCAATAAGAACTTCTTAAGAGTTTCTTGATGGGCAAGACTCTTAGGAAGATGCATATAAATACAAGTGCCCCTGCTCAACCGATCAAGCCAACCCACACAAAAGAATTCACCCCATCTAGAATGAGTGTATGAAGGGATCAGATTGAGGAGATGCGCTCTTATATATTCTTGATGTGTGTTCTATCATGTGTAGTCATTATAGTTTACATGTGGTATCAGAGCCTAGGCTGTAAGTGCCCCTGCTCAACCGATCAAGCCAACCCACACAAAAGAATTCACCCCATCTAGAATGAGTGTATGAAGGGATCAGATTAAGGAGATGCGCTCTTATATATTCTTGATGTGTGTTCTATCATGTGTAGTCATTATAGTTTACATGTGGTATCAGAGCCTAGGCTGCATGTTTTAGAACCAAAAAGAAATCGCCCACCTTATCTAATGTTGCTGGCCGTGTACGACTTTGGCGTGATAGATGTGCAATTTTGGGTTGCAAAGGTTGATCGCATAAAGTTCCCGATGACCTCTTAAATTGGCTTTTGCAACCTTGTGGACGGTTTTGTTCGTAATAAAGCATAAAGATGAAATAGATGAAATCGCTCACCTATGCTACTGCAATTGGGAGGCACTTTGATTAATTGGGCTACTGCGTTTTCTCTCTCTTTTGCTGATTTTGACAAAGCTTTCATATTTACGGCTGGGTATGGCGTCTCTTTCTCTAGTTTGAGTTAATTGCATACAGTTGTGTTACCTTTTGAATTGTTTGGCATTTTAGGGTAAACATGTTGGGTTAGCATAGTGTGTGAAGACAAGAGTCTGTTATAGTTAATATGGATTTGTGGGAATAAGTTAGTCACCATACGAATTAAAATAATTAAATAGTGAATTAAAGGAGGCATTAATGTTGCTTAGGTTATGCATACAGTTTTCATTGCATTTTAAATTGAGTTGAATGCTTGAGAGCCAAATATGTTATTAATAAGGATAAAGATTTTCTCCTTAAAGGACTCATCGTGTTTTGAGGCATATCAAGTTGTTGGCTTAAGTTATCAAGAACATGTTGCAATTAACTTGGACTTGTAGGAATTAACCTTTATGAATCAGTTTATCATAATAAAGCATTGACAACTTGTGGAAGACCTATAAAATGATTTAATATTCATGTCGTAACCTTTTGAAAAATTTGTTTAACGTTTTGATCAATCTGCATATAGTTTAATCATGCTTACATGTAGCGTTAAAAAAATTGCTTATAGTGTTAAATAAATTGCGTATCTTATTTGCTAAGGTATGATCAAGGGCATAAGGTTATTACTGCTTGATTATGATATAAAGGACTTTTGATTATGATACAGTTGCTCATTTTGTATGAGAAGGTTTTAAACTCTACAATTTGGTCAATAATTGCATCTATATTAGTAGCCTTCTGTATTATTCTCCATCCACATATGGGAATTGTACAGATTGATAACAATATGATTGAACAATCTGGATAGCAGACTGCATAGACTAGCAAGTCTTCTCTATATCCACATATGTGAGTTTTCTTGCACAGGAAGTTTATGGAGTTTATTGTCTGAGATTTTGGAATATGGTAATTTACACCCATAGGTATAAATTAACGTATTTAAGTAAAAATTTTGGGGACATTTTATCCATGTATATTCATGGTGGAGTGATGCAAAAGACAACATATGTGAATTAACACTACTACAAAAAGGGCAAAAGACGACCAGAAAAAGACGACGGTAGAACAAAAAACCATCGTTGTTTTTAAAAAGACGACGGTAACAAAAAACCGTCGTGGATAAGTGACTTAAACAACTAAAAAATGGAGATACTGTTGAGAATTTTTTTATAACGACGCACACAAATAAAAAAGCGTCGTCTTATTAAAAAGCTTTTCTTTAGAGTTAAAATCTGACCAAAAAACAACGACAGCAGGTATGACAAGCGTCGTCTTTTAAAAATCAAGTGTCCTTTTTTTGGTAAAGACATGGTTGTTTTGAAAGAACTGTCGTCTATTATATGTAAAGATGACGGTTTTTTTTTAAAAAGGGTCGTCTATTATGAAGTAAAGATGACGATTTTTTTAAAAAAAGGGTCGTCTATTATGAAGTAAAGACGACCCTTTTTATATGAAAATGGTCGTCTATTATGAAGTAAAGACGACGGTTTTTTTTTATAAAAAAGGTCGTCTATTATATGTAAAGACGACGATTTTCATATAAAAAGGGTCGTCTATTATAAGTAAAGACGACGGTTTTTTTATAAAAAGGGTCATCAATTATAAGTAAAGACGACGGTTTTTTTTTATAAAAAAGGTCGTCTATTATATGTAAAGACGACGATTTTCATATAAAAAGGGTCGTCTATTATAAGTAAAGACGACGGTTTTTTTATAAAAAGGGTCATCAATTATAAGTAAAGACGACGGTTTTTTTTTATAAAAAAGGTCGTCTATTATATGTAAAGACGACGATTTTCATATAAAAAGGGTCGTCTATTATAAGTAAAGACGACGGTTTTTTTATAAAAAGGGTCATCAATTATAAGTAAAGACGACGGTTTTTTTTTAT